TACAAGGTTTTCTTTACCTTTTTGTTCAAAACCTTTAGGTTAAGACATGTAGATTTTTTCATGCAAGTTTCCACGTAGAAAAGCAGTTTTGACATCTAATTGTTCTCATTCAAAATCAAATTGAGATACAATAGAAAGTAAAACCCTTATAGATGTTTATTTGACTACAGGATAGAAGATTTCATTGTAGCCAATTCTCTATATTTGGTTAAAGGCCTTAGCAACTAATCTGACCTTAAATCTTACATCCTCACCTTCAGCAGTTCCATCTTTTACCTTGAAGATCCATTTACAGTCAATGACATTTTCTCCTTTAGGTTTATTGACTAAAGTACAGTCTTATTCTTAGCTAATGAGGTCATTTCATCATTTAGAGTAGCAAGCCACAAACTTGCGTGTTCCCCTTCCATGGCCTCTTCATATGCGTTAGGCTCACTATCTAGAAAGTTCTGAACATTCAAAGCAGTAACAAAATCAGAATCATTGTATCTAGAAGGAGGTCTTACTTCTCTTCTGGTTCTATCTCTTGCAAGGTGGTAATCATCTAAGGGATTTTCAAGTTGGTTTAGAGATAAGTCAGCATGTTCAGCCTCATTGATAGGTCCAGTTTCATCAGTCAATACCTGATCAGGCTCCACTTCAAACTGATCATCATTACTAGAGGTTAAATCTGTCTGGAATAGTTCTGTTTCTAAAATTGTTTTATCTTGATCAGTTTCAAGTGTAGCAAGAGCATCTCCTTTAATGCAGGGCATGTCAACCTCATTGAAAACAACATTTCTACTGATGGTGACTTTGTAACCTCCTAAAGATTTCAACCAAACCCTATAACCTTTAATACCTTCACAATATCCTAAGAAAATACCCTTAACAGACCTAGGCTCCAGTTTACCCTCATTCTGGTGTACATAGGCAGCACAGCCAAAGATTTTCAGTTTAGAATAATCAACAGTATTGCCACTCCAGACATGATCAGGGGTATCAAGTTTTAAGGATTTAATGGGACATTTGTTTATCATATATGAAGCAGTTTTCACTGCTTCCCCCCATAACAGTTTTGGTAGCCTTGAACTTATCAGCATGCATCTGACCTTTTCTAACAAAGTCCTATTCATCCTTTCAACAAGCTCATTCTGTTGAGGAGTATAGGTAACAGNTTCATCATTTCAGTCAGGCCATTCTGTTGTGGGGTATAAGTGGCAGTCCTATGTCTAAGGATCCTATTTATTTTGCAGAAATTATCAAAGTCTTCATTGCAAAATTCAAGGCCATTATCAGTTCTAAGTGCATTAACACCTTTATTTACTTGATTTTCAATAAAAGTTTTCCATTCCATAAAAATTTTGAAGGTATCAGATTTATTTTTCAAAAGCATCACCTAACTTTTCTTTGAAAAATCATCAACAATAAACAAGTAATACTTAAAACCAGAGTATGTACACACAGATGCTGGTCCCCACAGATCAGCATGCAAGTAATC